CGCGCGCGGAAAAATAGTCTTTGCATTTGCTCACGTCAGCAGCGTACACCCATGGGCAAATGAGGGACGCTAAATTGACCAATCAGAGCGCGCGCTTTACTTTGGTTATGTTATAATATTATTTGGGGGGAAGGGAATTACCTGCTTTTCAGGAGGAAAGGAAAGGAAATTAACAGTTAATAAACTATAAAGAGAGTGTTATAGAAAATTGACTGCCAATGAGAGGGGACTATTTGAATTCTACAGAGCCTTCGAGAGGATCGGTTAAATTTTATTTTGACTTTATCCCCCCCCCCTCCCATTCTCCTCTTCCAGGCAATGAGCAGTGACGGCCTCGAAGCCGTCAAATGCTGAAATGAATATTCTCATTCAAAATGAAAAGATTGAATAAAGTGTTTGAAGAAAATAAAATATGTCACGTACCTTTGATCCTTTTTTCCCTTGATACACGTCATGACCAAGGAAGAATATCTGCCATCGTCCTATTTTCTGGGGGGTCCCTACTATTTTCCGAGTAACATCAGTGCAAATTAAGAGACTTCTTTAGCTTCTACTTGTAAAATTTTGTTGACACCTGCGTCAAGTGATTCTCGCGCGATCATCTCGCGACCAGGCTAGCGCGAAAGTCTCTCGATCGTAATAACCCATTTCCGAATTACCTTTGGCTTCATTTTTAAAGCGAGTCTTGGTGCTCATCCTTTCATACGGTTATAAGTTTTCATTCACGCGTAAATTAACCTCATTTTCATGCGAATGGTTGAGCACCAGGCCTCGTTTTGAAAAAGAGGCCAAAGGCAATTCTGAAATGGCCTATTGGTTTTAGTTACGTCGTACTGATGCAATAAACTCGCGCAGGAGCCCTGACTCACGGCAGAACCGCCTAAATTATTAATTATATTACGAGCTGAAAATTAACACCCAGTTGGGTTATTACTTTAGTTCCAGAAATGGAAAATGATTCATTGGAAAATGGGTAAATTGTTTTACACCTGTGCAGTGATAAACTCATCTCGCTCCGCTTTCTAAAAAATTATGTTGATAAATCCTCACCGAATACTCGTCTTAAGTTGAAAAAACCAACAGCACGCACTTAAGTTGTCGGGAACATAAGGTGGACGTTTAGAATAGGTCTAGAGTGGGGATTGAGTACTCCCCTACCGATGGAACCCGTATATCGAGAACGTTCTTAAATTAAAGTCTATTAAAAAGTCTACATTTTTTTTAAGTTGTGGTTTTCTGTTTCGAGATAAATCCTGCTTGTCTGATCATAGTTGGTCTGATACTGCAATTACATAACCAGAAATTTTCATTACAGAAGCATGAGTGCATATCTTTTCTAAATCAGGCATCATCAGGAATAAAATAATAAATATTCTCGTTTGAATTCACGTTTCAACTTGAATTGCCGGCTGATGGAGCATCTGCAAAACTATAAGTTCATTGGCGATCGTAGAAAAAAAATGGCAACATCAACCATAAACGTTTTAATCTTAAAAGGCAATAACAAAAAAAAAAATCATTAGCCGGTAGACTCGGCCGGCATTAAAGCAGAAAATTCATAAAATCTGCTATGAACTGACAAATTTCGTACGCCGGTACGATGCATTCAAATCATGTTTTGCTTACAATATAAACATTTAGATTGCCTTCGAGTAAGTTCATTCTTAAAAATAAAGTCAGAAAAGACTCATATATCTTACCACAAATTGTCCGCAAGGAGATGAATAAAATAAACTTCTTTACCCTTATCGCGGACAAAATCTCCTGCTAAGACCAGGCTTCCTGTAATGGCGATTTCCACCTGGCGGTTTCATGTTTACAAACTTGCACGGACGCAAACAGAAGAGGCAATTGGCCACAAGCGAATGTCAAAAAGTTAGAGGAAAAAGTAATTTATGTAAGTATCTGACTTCAATTGAAAAGCGAACGCAGGGAGCCGTCTGATGTTATGAGTTTTCAAAGTGATTTCACAGCTATAGCCAACGGCATTTTGATTGTTATGAATTTTCAAAGCAATTTCGCAGCCATAGCCAACGGCACTTTGATCGTGTAGATGCTTACGGCTGACTAGTACAGCGAATTCGAATATCTAGAGTGCACCTTTGTGTTTATGTAAAACAACAATAGAGAACAAAACAAACAATACTAGCTGGCGACAAAATTAAAACTTGAATATAGAAAAATGTACTGAAAACCAACTATGACGTACAAAAGTGAAAAAGGGACAGAAAAATAAGTAAATGAGTTTAAAAGCAGTGCGTAAACTTTGTAGAACCCTGTGAGATTGCCTCTCTTACATAGGTTATAATTTGAAACTAGGTATATGTTTCTATCTATCTAAATTTTAATTTTTTTTTGTTTTTAACAATGTCAGTCAGTCCACAGTAAGTAAAATAGATGCCTGAAATTGCCCACGGGTCACTAAGGTAAGTAATGTTTTGAAAGGAAAAAAAACAATAAACACTTTTCTTCAATCGATTGAAAGATTAATGTTCTGAAGGTTTGAGTATTACGCGGTATCATATATGACTGTGTCTCACAAGGACTGGGAACTACCAAATTCACGAATTTGATTGGCTGAAATCAATATTGAAAGCGGTCTAGATTTTCCTATCTAGAACCGCATCTAGACCGGTGTAGAAAAAAAAGGTACGAAGAATATAAAAAATTGGCATAGAAGACCCAGCCATATAATAAACATCTTATTAACCGAGCTAGGTCGGTCTACATGGGAGAGTCTTGACCTCGGTCGCTGGTACAGACCTTACTGCGTTCGGTCTGTACTGGCGACCTCGGTCAAGATTCTCCCATACAGACCTCCTGCTCGGTTAATAAGAATTAAGTCTTGCACAACTTATATCAAGCAATTGTGCACGCATGCATGGTGTAGGCTAGAAGAGAAACTTTCGTTTCGCCATATTTTCTTTTCTAAACAAAGACAATTGTTGAAATTAGACCTAAAAGTTGGGAACTGTCGTGGCTTTTATTTCCGGTCGCGAATCCTGACGAATAATTGATTTATTGAAACTCTTTGGAGCAGAAGTAGAAGTTTTAAGAGACAAGCGTCCTCTTTTGCGGGGTCGGAACAGAACCTGATAACGTCAGACAAGCTCCATCTGGGGTCTTACACGTCCCTCCCTCTTTTCACGCCTGTATTATATAAAGTACTATTTTTACACCATAACCACGGGGAACTCAAAGAACTTTGCTACTGTTTCGCTGCTGGTTGCTATCCTTCACACGACAAAGATGATATTCTTCACGAGTTATTTGTTATTGAAAAGATTAACTGTTACCTCCCTGAGGTAAATTTTCCCCTCGGGGAATTTTCTTCTTTACTAATAACACGCAAAGGAAAATGCGTCTGTGGTTTACAAACAAACAACTTTAATTGTCCTAAAGTATGGAACATCAAAAACACGAATCTTTGAAGCATCTGCAAGGAATAGCTGATATGTTTAAAGCCAAAATACGATGATATTTTAGACACAATAGCTGCCTTCAATTTCCGTTCATCTCCGATGCACCAATGATGTAGATTAAGAGATAAGTTACTGTCATTGAAATGAGTTACCAATTTAGTCTATATATAGGAAGACAATCCAATGCATAGTGCGTGGTGTTAATTAATGTCTTATTTAATCCCTACCACTCACCTTTTATCTTTTAGTAAACCTTGATCTCCTGCTGACAGCCTACTTTGCGCTTTTGTTTCGCGCAGAAAATCCACTAAGACACGCTTGAAGGATGGTCCTTTTGTTTTCTGACACTGCCTGAAGTGCCGGTTTCCTTGACTCTATGTCGGTTTTATAGAAACTTTGCAAACTGAAACCATAGGGTTTCCTAATGAGAAACCAGCACGCACTGATGTAGCCCTCATCTGCTGCTTTTAAGAGAGTGTTTTAATTGTTGGAAAACTAGTTTAAGAACAACCAAGCAAGGGAAATGGGGGATATACTGTGGCCTTGCTAATGATGCCACACTATAACAACTCAGTGTTAGATTCGTTAATGATGTGATTTTGATCTGCACTGTTTTTTTTTGTCTGTTTCCATTTATGTTCGTAATTAACGGTTGTGAACTTCTCTACTGTGGTCTTTTCATTTAGTTTTATGTTAATTATAGTGGAAATTATTAGTAATGATGCTACGTGAGCAAAATAATAACCATTTTCTGAGCATAGTGTGAAACATCGAGCATCATGCGGACAACCTTAGAAGTAGGTGAACAATGGCCCAGATATCCACTTAACATCAAGAGAACATTTTTCTAGCTCAGTTTTCGTTGATACAGTAAAGAAAAGAGCTTTGGATTTTCTCTGCCTTTTTCTCACCGAAACAAGCGCGATTTAGTCATCTTAGATTGAGGGACGTGTCCTGGCTTTGAAACTGTGCAGCGAGAAGAAGTCGCGTTTCCTCAGGAGAATTGCTTTTTAAAGAAGAGCGAGGTTCCGGCATTGTTTGACTTAGTAGTAGTGAATATATACTCTACACGCAAAGCTTTTTACCAATAGTAAGCTTTGGAGATTTGTAGATTTACACACAGATGTATTTGTAGGCGATTAGAACGGATTTGCTTCCACGCTCAGTTTCACAAAGGTTTCCCATAGCGATCTTGTGAGGGTGGGACATTTGTTTTCCATCCATAAATCTTCTTTTTTTTTGTTCATACAGTTTCGCCTTAATGTAAAAAATGACATCTACTGTTTCTCGAAAACCACAAAAATGTCTCAGAAGGACTTTATAAGAGCGATCCACTTTCTATATGATTCATTCGCTGGTGTTGATGATTGGGTAAGTTTTTCTGATCCTCGAAAGGAGAAAGACGAGAAACATTTTTTGCAAGGTAAGATAATTGTCGGACAATTTTAAAACTGGTGATCTATCACACAGGTTATAGAGACCGAGATTTTGTAGTGTGAGGAACAAGATTTCGTGATTTGTTTTGTTTAGGAAGTTTTTGATTCAGTCCGCAAATGTGACTTGAACTGTTTTCAGTACTGTGTTCAGGCAAATTGAAAATGACATAACTGACCGCTTGTGACATCGCAAAATAAATCATTGAGTGGACTTTAGACTAGAAGGCTTACTTGGGATGGCGTCCCTTCCTTCTTCAAAGTTGCTATTTTTAATCGCTCAAATGCTAAAGATTTAATTTCCTATGATCACACCCTCTTGAAGCAGAGCGCGCCCGCGTTAAGCGCATTTGATTATGAAAAACTGAGTTCCGTAGCTTTGTCCACGACTTTGTTATTCAAGTTTTGTTTCATTTCTATCTCTGAACTTAAATTTTAGAAACAAAGATATCTTTTCATCTAAAAGTATTCGTAATGTGAATGTATTCGGAATTTTATTTTTTAAAAAATATTCTCAAACTTCTGACGCAGAAAATTTTACAATAAGTCGTTTAAGGATCATGCACGCGACTTTCGCCAGCACAGCTCCACTTACAATTTGATAAAACATGTTAACTGAGATCACATTCGCCAACCAAATTAAGCCCCATTATCATATTTCTGGTAATTTTCCTTCTAAATTACTAGCGGTTTATTTCTAAGTTGGCATCCATTACCCCAAACACTTCTTATTTATGTATAGCCATCAATTAGTTCGACAGGTCGGTAACTATATTACTGTAGTTCGTTATATCTGTCGCGCCTTCGAACATATTTCCCGCCCAAAATAAGAATACTCTTGCGTTCTCGGGTGATCAAGTTCCGAATGAAGCCAAGCAAGTTAACAATGTAAATTAAAATTGGGCTTATTTGCCGGAGGGCAGCCCTCAGAACAGAAATAATATGATACTTTGATCAAATCAATAAGTGAACTACATATTGATTAAAAGCAATCGTCAAAGTACATTTGAAATATTTTAATATTTAAAAAAAAATCCGTCCTACTGACTTTGATATGTTCATGCTAAATTTACACGTAGGAGTTAAGTCCCTTTGTTTTTAAGTGTCAAAGTATTTAATTTAGCTCAAGTGGGCTTGGGCCTCTTGCAGTGACACAATGATAGTTCTTTTCAAATTATAAAATGCGCTGTTTGAACAATTAATTATTACTCGTAGCCTTTTTGTTCTATTGACCTTCGGACACCTCGGAGCCAATCATTCGGTTATGCCTCGTTGCAACTTCACAAAGCTTCTTTATGGGCTTGATGGAAAGGCGGGATTAAAAGCTTTTACTGACAAATCTTAATATCTCTATATATGCTGTAAAAGAAAATTTTGATTGGCGTCTACTGTGTCATATACAAATGGAGTAGGTGGTTATCAGCTATGATCCTCTAAAGGTTGATTCATTCCACAACGGTCATCAGAGAGGACGGTTGTCAGTAGAGCTCATTGAGAAAAAAATTTTCAAAGTGTTGGCGGGCAGGTTTCTTCAGTAGGCAAGCTTACAAGCAAAACACACCTAAAGAGTAAAACCGAGGTGAGCTTTTTATACGTATCATTGCAAGGTTAAACACCTCCTGGTTAAAGCTTTGTTCTGTGGGAAAGTAAGCATCTTTTCCCTTAGTATTTCATTGCGCGATACATATCACTGGGAAGCATAACTGAGTACACAAATTCATGGATGAAAAGTGATACAGACCCTCAAATAGGTTTAAAAAATAAGGCTTTTTTCAAACCTCATGTATTAAAGAGGTATGATTTTAAAACCATGTCGTAGGAGAAGTCGACGGAGCTGAATAACGTATGCGCATCGTTGGGTTTTGCCGCGGAAAACGGATTTTTGAGTAGTTTGCAGGGTTGATTTCCAATTCTCTTGCTTCGATGCATTGTTTTCCTTACTGCTTTTCTTTTAAAGAACAACCTCTAAAAACTTGGTACACCCCCTAACAATTTTCGAAAATTAATTTTCTCCTTAAAAACCTCTGGAAATAGGAAAATGCTTTTGACGAAAACAAAGTTCTTTGGTTTTAAATGTCGGCCCTCATTATTTTTCGCTAATTTTGCTAAATTTTAGACACTTGAGCCCTTTGACGTAGCATTTAATTATTCAGCACTGTCGGAGAAGTCAATTTTTGCGCGCTCAAATAAGGTTCCCGCCAAAATTGAAACCATACGCTAATAAAAGCAAATAAACATCAGGAGCCAAACAGGAGCACGATAGACTGCATGAAATTAATTCTTAACGCAGCGGAAAATTTCTTAAGCTGTTTACAAGATTTTCTGCTTTCATCTCTGCAAGCGCGAACGAATGATTCCAGCAAAATTTAAACGAGGACTGTCGACGACATAATACTTGTAAAAAGATGTCGAATTAGATAAAATATAAACTATATCAAAATGTGAACAGCTTTTTACTGTAACATTTTCCCCTTTTTTTCTTTTTTCTTCGATATCAATTCTAGAGTAACCGGGAAAGATGTTAACTCCAGTCCTTGTATTGTCCCTCGCCTTTTTCTTCTGTGATGCTGCCCAAGGCCGCGTTGGCTTTCCATTGCGCCGTTTTCCAAGCGAGGATAAACTGCAAATAAGAAAACGAAGCTCAGGTAGAGATCAAAAGAATATTTGTCGTTTCAAGTACCCATAAGGTCATAATGATTAAAAATCTCTCTTTTGCTTTCATTTGAGCTCGGAACAAGGTTTGAGTGCATTAATCTTGATCCTGGAAGTCATTGGAGCCTTAAATTCTGCGTCTCGTTTTGAGTAGATTTTTTCCTTTTGTTCAGTTTTTTTTTTGCAACAAATAACTTTGAAATTATTTTATCCTTGTATCCGTAATTTGAAGTGGATGAAAGCGCATGTCTGGAGGCCCATAATGCCAAGCGCGATCTACATAGCGCATCGCCGCTGACCTGGGATGGCAATCTGGCCAGCAAAGCTCAAGCCTGGGCAAATCACTTGGCTAGTATTGGATCTATGCAGCACGATCCGAATGCTGACGAAGGAGAAAACCTGTTTGTATCATACAGTTCGGAGCCTCATTGGAGTTCATGCCAAGACGCGGTAGAGGAATGGTAAGAGTCAGCACGGGACCACCAAATTTAAAACATCAAAATATTAAGGCTCTTGATAAATTCTCAAAGATTGTATTGTTGTACTCTGGGCGTAGTCTCAATTTATCTTGCCTTTTTTTTCTGGGCAACGATGTAGTTTCCATATTCTAAATTAAAGAGATTCCAGGGTTAAAGTTTTGAGGTTAGCCCTTCGTTAGAGAGCTTATCATTGTGGTTCGCGGGTCCACAATCCACAATTCCTCGATTTACATTATCAACCAGTTGACGAAACCAAATTATCTTGTGATAACCCCTACCGACACAGCACCACAGTTTCTTTAGAAACTTACTCTCTTTATCCGTCTCGATAATGACAACAGCGAGAAGAAATAAGAAAAAATCGCAAGCTTTGCTGTGTTTCTCAGGGTTCACATGTTCAGAAAAGGTGCTGCAAAATGTGCAAATCAGTTTTTCTTTCATTTGTAGGTACGCTGAAATAAAGGATTATGATTTCAACGATCCTCGGTTTTCCTCTAAAACTGGTCATTTTACGCAGGTAAACGCACTTTTGCGCGCGGACTTGGTTTGTGCTGGAGTTGCATTTGCAGTGTTTATTGCCGTAATAGTTATTATCTTGTTGCCGAGTGTTTCCAGTCAAGCATGAACACCTGGCAGTAATGAGTTTCCAAAAAATGAGACTTGAGACTCACAAAAAGATAATCTTGCTTTGAAATCTGTACCTAGGGGAACGTTCTCCACTTTTAGTGCCAGACTTGTTCTCGAGGGTCCTCTCTCTCCTCCTGCCTCGAGAAGGTATGGAGGAATTAGGACCTGGGAACGAGTACCAACCTCGTTGTCGGGGTCCTCTCTCTTCATCCCTCGAGAAGGTTCGGAAGAGAGAGGATCCTGGGAACAAGTACCAACCTCGTTCCCGGGTCCTCTCTCTTTCTCCCTCGAGAAGGTATGGAAAAGAGAGGATCCTGGGAAAGTACCAACCTCGTTCTCGGGGTCCTCTCTCTTCCTCCCTCGAGAAAGTGCGGAAGAGAGAGGATCCTGGGAACAAGTACCAACCTCGTTCCCGGGTCCTCTCTCTTTCTCCCTCGAGAAGGTACGGAAGAGAGAGGACCCTGGGAATGAAGTTGCTTTAGTACATGTGCATGGCCGTTGTGACGTCATTTAAACGATCCTCAGCAACTTCTTGTTCGACGAGCTATTTCCAAGATTTACAAATCATCGGTTTGAAAATGAGGATAAGGGCAAAGCTTTTGGCATAAAAAGTAAATTTTCTCAGTTTCATTCGATTCAAAGATGATTAACTCACTTCCATAAGGAAGGCTGGGCTTTTAGAATGGTTTCAATAGGTGTTCTATTCAGTGCAATCGCCTTTTAGCAGGAAGCTCAGCTATGATATTCTAACACATCACCTTTCTTCGAAATTTTATACCTGTTTCTTAAGGTCAAAACTGTATTTGATCCACAATGTATTGGAAGAATCTAAAACAAATGATTGAGAACGTAGATATTTAGACGTTGGTCCAGTCTAATTGAAGTAGTTACGAAATCACAAATGTACGTTGTTCAAATTAGCGTAATTCGTAATTCGTGTTTGGGAAGAACTATGCACTTTGTTTTGCAATCCACAGGTTGTGTGGAAAGCAACTACTAAACTTGGGGTGGCGAAGGCGACAGCTCACCAAGGGGGGTTTTACGTAACCTACATTGTCGCTCGATATTCTCCACCAGGAAACTATCAAGGGCAGTTTGCTGAGAACGTTTCGGAAAACTGAAAATGGTAATGAGTAAGTGATTCATATAAAGGTGATTCTGAGTTTTGTGAAACTATTTTATTGCCTGGCAAGGCTGTATGGAACCAATGGATGGAATGTACAGCGCAGCAGAAACTATGCACTGTATGTGGAGAACCCTGCTGTTAGAAATAAATAGTCTATCAAGGAAGAGAAACACGTTAATATGAAAAAAAAAAAATGCTCTATGTTGTCTCTCAAAAAAAATTTAGAGCTACTTGTACGTCCTTCGTGAGTTCAGGTCATGGTAGAAGGTCGATGATGAATATAATAGCTTTTTCTGCCTTCTTTCTTAGATGAAGCAAGTCGCTGGATTCAGTTGATGTATGCCTATTTGAACTGTCGTGCGCACCACAAGGACAAAAGACAGTTACACTTATAGAACCATTATCATATTTAGTTATAATAGACATCGTGACTAGAACACTGGTAGTTAGGAGCTTGAAACTTTGACCTTTTTATTATAAAGGGATACCGAATAAAACAAAAACAAAAACAAAAACATTTGTAGACGTTTGACAACTCCTAACCGGCGGAATATTTGTCGCTTACTGATTTTGGGACCTATATATCCTCTGGAGAAATTTCTTATCGAAAGATATCTTGTGGTACTTGGTAATCCTCGCACGACAAAAACCCCACCCCACCTGAATAAATTCATAATTCATGTACTTGTAATTTTTTCAAAAGGCTTAAGATGAAAAGCTAAGAAAAAAAAAAAAAAGAAAAACAACAACAACAACACTGTGTGTGCGAAGTTAAGGAAATGTCCCTCGAAATTTAGCTGAAAAGAACTGATTTTTAAAAAATTACCCTTTTTTAGTTTCGTGCGCCAGTATTTCTGTCATGATTAGATATAATTGATAAGATGACTTCAGCATTACAGGTTGGAGCTTGGTGCTAAGTGTTTCTTAGTGCTCAATTTATCGACCAGGGGCCCTTCTATCGGAAAAGCTGAACAATTCGTAACTAAAGTGGAAAGAGACTCCAAGCCATTTATCTCATCTGAAACAAATTATTTCACATCCTTAGTTGATTAGTTCAATTGTTTTTAAACTGTTTTCTTAGGTTCAATGCGGGAAGGAGATCTGCTAAATTGACTTCGGAATTACCTTTAAGTACTTATTTAAATCCGGCAAGACTGTACTTTATAACACAAAGTGTATGGATTATTTCCTGCTAATTTTGCCGCAATGAAATAATAAAAAATCGGTAGTCGAATGACTGAATAAAATGTTTTGGAAGTATGTTTCTTATTGACGAGCTGAAAAGTACCGGAAATTTAGTGGGAAAAGCTTCCGTTCGGGAATAATGGTTAGATTGAATTTATTTTTGTGTTGATGGAACATTTGGTGATGTTTTCGTTACACTTAAAGCAAGAACTCTCCTCAATATTAGGAAACAAAACCATAGCATGTCACAAACAGCAGCATGTCACAAACTTATTCCAAATGTTAGAAAAAAGAATAAGTTCCAGTTATGTAATATCTACAAAGAAAAGTAAAAAGGCCAAATTCACAACAACGAGACTAATTTCAACAAGGGTGCATGCTCAAATTTCCATATAGAAGCATTGGTATAATTTTTCCAACCACTTAACGATATCAGAAAAGAAAATTGAAAATGTAAACACTAAGGGCGGTTTTTTTTAATTTTTTTTCCCGCTAATTCATATCTTGATTTTGGTTACTCGCTTGCGTGTATAGCACAACAAAAACATTTCTCACCAAAGTCGATCAACTTTACATTAAGATTCCATTTTTCTAAGACGTTTTTGATCTGGGAAGAGAAGGTCAGTGTATCTTATGGGCCACATTGTAATCTCGCAGGAGGATTTATTACATTGTGAGAACCTTTTCAGACCATTACATAACAAGATATTGGTCATCATTTCTCGAGTTTAAGGTGCGGCTTTTAAAATCTTACTTTAAATGGCTGAAAAAGAAATTGCTGGAGAATAAGTCACACATCACTATAGGTTACTTTTGTTAATAAGGAGCAAGTATCGCCTCAAATGTTGGCATTTTTCTATGCAGAAAGCACAATGAGACAACGAAAACAAATACGCATACATTAAGTTTTCTTGAACGATTAAGAATCGAGAGAGAGGAAACATTTCCTGCTAAACGAGAGAAAACGTATTACTTTTGTGCGTAAAAGAATGAAATGATGAATAATATCTGGGTCACAACCTAAAGCACATATTTTCCTCTTCTTTCCCTTTTTCAAAAATTACGTCTTGAAGGGTTTTTCAATATTTCCTCACGGATATTTTAAAGTGCAAGCTTATGGAACTACACCATGGTTGCAGACAAAAACATCGCCAATAATTATTGCCTATTATTTTGGAGACGAAAATTTATTTTTCAAGTTGAGGAAGTCTTTGCTTTTTTATTTTTGGCTTCTGTGGGAAAGCAGGTGTCTCAAGTCCCTTTCAGGTTGTTATGAAAATGACAACCTTGATCTGATTTCATAATCAGTTGTGGTCTGACTGTGATCATATCTTCAGTGAATGAGACTGTTACAAAAGTATACTTGGGAATGACAGAAAAATTGAAACTATTTTTTCTTTTTTTTTTTTTTTACAATTATAGAATACAAAGTTTGGGCAGTAACCCGCATCGAAATCCAGATTTTATGTTCTTTTGTGTGATAAAATTGAAATTTTTTTCCTAAAAAAAAAAAACTGTATACTATTAGCAGACTTGAAGGCGCTGTGAGTTTATTTTGTTTTGTGACAAGAGATATATCAGTGTTCGGAAGAATGGCAAATGTATTCTGTATATAGAAAAAGAGCGTGCGCCTTATCAATGTGGAACTTCAGGAAAAAGGTTTCCAAGATTAATGGATGAATCATTCCTGAGGGTAGCTTAAAAAGTGGTTTGACTATGTTTCAACTTGTGTAGTTCAACGAGTACATTGCGACGCTGATACATATAAAATTTTGAAATATATGATGCAAGACTCGTTCATTCATGTATGTTTTTGCTTTTTTTTTTAATAAATTGGGAGGAATCCTGGAAAAACTAACTAAACTGAAATTATTTCTCGATATGTCATAACTCGTACCCAAAGTTCGACATATCATTTTCGTTCTTTCATTTAAAACTTACCACAAAAACCACAACTCCCATGAAGCTGAAATATGCTTCTTTTCTTATCTACCCACACCACACAGCAACTATTTAATTGAAAGTGCAACTAATAGTTGTCATTCTATCATAAAAGTAACCCGGCACTCGCTTCAAGTGGACCATTTACTGAGTTTTAGTTCGGAGAAACATTCTTGCACTAAAGGAGGCTTCTTCATCTAAAAGTAGGGAGATTTAAAAAGGTGAAAAGTCTTTGTTGTAATTTCTGCGAACAGGTCATAACTTCGCCTCTTTAAAGTTATAAATTATATCAAAATTGTTGAAAACTTTTATACCGAATATTTCTTAATTGAGGCAGCCTGGTTATTACCATTTCCTAAAGTGATGCTCTGTTTACATTTATTTACTCTTTTTTTTTTCTATCGCAGTTATTAAATTACCACGATTTCTTAGGTTTTACCGCACTGTTTTATTTTTCTTTATATTTTTTGTCCATTAGGCATGTCATTTGTCATTCACCCAGATGATTTGCTGTGCAGTTAAATTTGAAGTTTCTTCCGAATTAGTACCACAAGCCGTTGTAGTACTTGAGTGTTACTACTATTTGACTCTTGACTTGGCTCTCTGAAACGAGTGAAACAGAGAGAGAAAATTCTAAAAATGCATATTAGAAGGGTAATATAAATCAAGATGAGATGCACGAGTCATTTTGTATAACTTTTTCGTCATTTTTCAAGTTATGAGCTTACTAAGTTTAGTTGACTTGATATATTCTGGCGTAATGTTAATTTCTAACTTATCCGCATTGTTGTAGTGAAGTTTCATGGCACTTTTCTCAACATAGTGGATAAAGGGGACTCTTTCTTGTATTAATCAAGGGTCTCCGACAATGGAGCTAACTAGCCGTTAGCCATATATAAAACGGCAAAAAATAGCCGTTTGGCGTAAAAATTTACAAATTTTAAGCGTTAGTCGTAAAATGTTTTCTTTTAATCACAAAGGAAGGAATTCTAAGCGTTAGCCGTAAAATGGCCAAGACTTTGAACTTAAGCTGTAAATCCAACTAAATCATTGAGACGCCCAAATTTGTCCAGAAATGCATGCCGTAACGAAAAAGACAAAATTTCGTCAAAATCGTCAAATCCGCTAAGCTGATTTCGCTTTGACGAATGTGAGTTAAAGTCGCCAAAATCGTTATTTCCACCCAGCTAATTGCGTTTTGATCAATTCGACTAAGATTCGCCAAAATTGTCAAATCTCTGAACATTCAAACACTGGGTTTGACGGTTTTTACGAAATTTCGTCATTTTCGTAACTGCATGCATTTCTGGACCTAAGTGCCCCAGTTCGCACAAGCAAACAACGAGCCTATTGAAAAAGGTTTAGGGTAGAAGCTAGGAATTTCATCTACCCGGGAAAGAATCAGAATAACAAACATTTAAACTCTTGCACAGCCTTGATTACTAAGTAACCTCGCCTAAAGCGGCGAGGTTACCGGATGTGTCGCGGTAAAGGTTGTTCTTCATTAAGCCTATTTTTTTTTTTAACGTGCGAAGTTCCGCAATGTGGTAATCGGGTTTGTTTTATTTCGGCTATACATTGATTCTTATCGAGGGTATTGGCATCAATTGGGCAATCGTTGTAACGAACGTATTTGCAAATACTGATTCAATTGGAAAGCCTGTAGCTAGTTACTCAATTCATGTGATTTGTTCATTACCATAAACTTTCAACCCCCCCGCGTCCAATTAGAGTGTTGATAGTTGCCGAGGTACTTTTTTTGCCTGTGGTCAATTTCTTTATCAGTAACATCACCTCCATTTTATCATATCTTCTGGAACTCTCCATGGGAAATAATTGCAGACTCGAGTTTGAACCATATTTACTGGAGAAAACCACTTGTTAAGCAATGTGTGATAAACTGAGAAGAAATGGAAAATTCTTGGAACCTTGAAGTTAAGCAGTATGACTTCCAAAAGTATAATCAACGAGAACAACAATAAACAAAACAAAACTGAGCGAAACCAAACAAAAAAATAACCTCGGCTTCATTTCGATTTTCAGTCATTCGACCATGGCACCTTTGCTGATCAGTTCATTTTCGGACCAAGTGATTTTTTTGATTATTTTATTTCGATAGGAATTGTATTAAAACTTGCAATGACGCCTCGCTGAATAGGAAGTCACGATGTCATGGTCTGATACTTTGCTCTAACGGTAAAGATCGAATCCGAAGCTACATGACATTTTGGGGTTTGAAGACAGATTAAGTGCAGCCCACCAGCTTCGGGACATGCTGGAAAAGTATATCATAGCCGATAAAATAATTTTATTACACGACTCGGGCAGTCAGAGGGCCAATAACTAAAATCAACCAATAAAAATGCTCTATTGTCGGACCAATATTCTCTAAGTGTTGGACCGGGCACTGTCCCGAATGGTCCCGAATGATACCACACTTGTGTCCCTTTGAACCTCAGTCGTATAATAAATCTCTTATTAACCAAGCTTGCTCGGG